TTCTTGTGCTTTCTTGATTCGTCTTTCTGGGCGGTCGACCTCATAATTTTGAAAAACGGTAGACATTTATCTGCTGACTTTGATATGAACCGATGCAGAGCTGCCACCCTTCCAGTTAACCTCTGTATATCTTTCACTGATTTCGGCGGTTCCATCTCGGCAATTGCTCTTATCTTCTCTGGATTGACCTCAATTCCCCTTCGGGACACCATGAAACCTAGAAATTTTTCGGACTCCACTCCGAAGATGCATTTGGCTGGATTTAACCGCATCCTGTTCTTTCTGAGGTTGTTAAAGGTTTCGTCGAGGTCGGCGAGATGGTCTTCTGCTTTTAGGCTCTTTACCACAATGTCGTCGACATATACTTCCAGATTCTTGCCAATCTGAGCGTGGAAGACAATGGTTACCATTTTCTGGTAAGTAGCACCTGCGTTCTTTAAGCCGAACAGCATCATGACATAACAATAAATTTCATCGCCAGCATAGAACACGGTTTTCTCTTCGTCTTCTGGAGCCATTGGCACCTGGTGATACCCCGAGTATGCGTCGAAGAGGCTTAACCTCTCATTGCTTGAAGCCGCTTCAACTAATTTGTCAATGCTCGGCATTGGATAGCAATCCTTAGGGCAGGCATGGTTAAGATTTGTGTAATCAATGCACATTCGTCATTTACCATTTGCCTTTTTCACCAGAACTGGGTTAGCCACCCATTCACAGTAATCAACTTTCTTGATAAAACCAGCCTGTAGGAGCTTCGTTACCTCTTCTTTAATAGCCTGAAGCCTCTCACCCCCGAAGAGACGTCGCTTCTGGGCCATTGGTTTCTTCAATGGATTGGTGCTGAGCTTATGTTGAGAGACTGAATTTGGAATTCCTGGCATGTCTGCCGAAGTCCATGCGAATACATCATTATTAGCTCGAAGAAAAGCTATTAGCTTTGCCCTTTCCTCTGGGTTCAATCTAGTTCCGATCTGCATCTTTCGGCTCGGATCTCTGTCATCAATGAGCACTTCTTCAACATCTTCGACCGGAGCAGCTCTGGTTTCATCTTCCAGTCGATTATCTACGATCTCAACACCCATAACTTGCTGATTATCAGAAATTCGCTGGGGAATGGCCTCGGGTGTCTGAGCTTTGCCCTTCATGGGTTGTGTTACGGAGGTGGTATAACAATGCCTGGCCACCTCTTGGTTTCCTCGCAGTGTTGCTATTCCCATAGGAGTTGGGAACTTCATACAGAGGTGAGACTGGGAAACCACAGCTCGGATTTCAGTTAGTGTGGGTCGGCCAATAACAATGTTGAAAGAAGACGGCATTTTGACTACGAGGAACCGGACTGAAGGAGTCACATAGGTTCTGCCACTTCCAAAAGCCACATGGAGGGTAAGAACTCCTTCTACCGGAACAGGCTGGTTGTTGAAACCATAGATAGGACCATCATACTTCTGCAACAATGCTGGATCTAATCCCAGACTCTCGAAACAGTGGAAGTACATGATGTCTGGTGCACTCCGGTGTCAACAAGGACACGCTGTACTTCACAGTTATTAATCATTACAGAAGTGACCAAGGGATCATTGTGGGGTGTAATAATTGTATCAAGATCAACAGATGTGAAAGTAATGGGTTGGTTCTTCCACTCAGCGTCGTCAATCTTCCGCTTCTGAGCTCGGTTTTGATGTTTAACCTCTCTGACATATAGCTTTCGCTGCTTAGAGCTCAGTCCACCTGCTTCAAGGCCTCCCGTAATCATATGTATGATTCTAGCTGGTGGTGGGAGCGGAGGTGGGGTTTGCTGATATCCCACACCGCCTATTTGGGGGATTGCGGACTCCTTGAGGTTGCGGCCTCTGTTCTCTGATAAACCTCGGCTGTTCAGCTCTCTGAACATACTCATTTAGCATTCCCTTCTGAGCTAAACTTTCCAGTTCAGACTTTAAGCTGTTGCACTGCTCTGTAGTATGGCCGTGATCTTGATGAAAATCATAATATCTGGTGTGGTCGTCTCGACTAGCAGCAGCAGTTTTCATCGGGCCAGGATGCCTTAAATCCATTTTATTCTTGATTTGCATAAAAATTTGTGACCTTGGCAGATTAAAAGGAGTCCAATTAACTGGAGGTTTACCTGCAGATTGGTGCGGGGGAGTTGAGTTCGTCTTTCCGAATCTCGTTGGGGAGGTCAACATTGGACCTCGGTTCTGCGCCATTCTCATCCTTTTTCGGTTCGGATTGTCATCTCTCCATTCTGGGTTCTGGTTCTTAGAGGAAGGTGGGTTTTGCGCCAGGGCGTATTCCTCAGCAGTTATAAATTTCAGAGACCTATCGTTCACCTCGCTAAAGGTGGTGGCAGCATGTTTGATCAAACTGTCTCTGAACCTATCATGTTTGAGACCAGAGATTACAGCTGCAATACCCACAGCTTGGTCGAAGGAACTAACCTCCAACACCGCATCATTAAACCTGCTCATGTAGTTCTTCAGAGACTCTCCGTCCCTCTGTTTAACTCGCATCAATTCAGTAGTAGTTTTCCTAATCAACCTTCTACTGGAAAACTTAGTGGCAAAGGCAGATGCCATTTCTGTGTAAGAACTAATTGACCTCGGAGGTAGACTGTAATACCAAGTTCGAGCATTACCTCGTAGAGTAGAGGGGAATATTTTGCACATTAACGCGTCAGAGGCGTTCTGAGCTTGCATGCAAGAGTAGAAAGCATGCAGGTGATCATCGGGATCCTTTGTCCCATCATAAGTCTCCAGTTGTGGTATTTTGAAGCCAATGGGATAGGGTTCCAGCGTAATGTTGGTATTCAGAGGGTGAGGTATAGAATCAGCAGCATGGTGTGGGGGTGGAGCACCTCGGTGTTCAGCTACTAGCTTTTCCAAGCTATCGAGGCGTCGGGTGACATCATCAGGGATGGGTTGCTGAGCAGGTGCTATATGGGATTGACCCTGAGATTCACTAATAACGGGAGCAGGTGGAATCGGTTGAGGATTTTGTTGTGGAGCTGGGGGTTGTTGAGTAGGGTTTAATAAATTAATGAGGGGATCACCAGGATTATTTCTAGCTAAAAGCTGAGCCAGTACCAACTGAAAAACACCAAACTGTTGCTGCATGGCAGCAAGTTGAGCTGCCACTACGTCTTGATTGGCAGTGGAAGTGGAATTGTGAGCTGAGGTATGGGGTTGGTTTTCATCTCCCCCTTCTGCATGATCAACAGGAGGGAATATGGTTGGGACCTGAGGTGGAAGCTAAGGTGGGATCAGAGGTGGAAGGTTGTTGGGGGGTTGACCTTGCCCATGAGGCAGAGATGAATTACCAGCTCGGACTGATCGAGTGTGAACCATGATGAAAGGGCAAGTAGAAAGCTTTCAGTTCGATTCCCACAGATGGCGCCAATGTAATTGCACCAAACCAGAAGTTCTTCTTCAGTCCGCGCTTGCACTCCGGGATGACCTGCAAAGCCCCGAGGTGGAACTCGGGGTAGACACTCCGATGCTTAAGTCAGCAATAATCAGGGCTACCTTTAGGGCGGAGATAAAAAGAGCTTAGGGTTGGTTTCAATTACCTTTTTGACGTGGCCCGGGGGGGTATTTATAGGATCCAATGAGGAACCCACGTGTCATGCCAAGCAAGATAATTGGAGCTTGACGTGTCCATCCAGACGGTTATTCTGGGACCGGGAATTTGAGAGGTATTTAGATGCACGAGTGTCCACCATACTTGCTGTGCCACTCATCATAAGGAATCATATGCGGGCATGCTTATTGTCACTGTCATGCAGCTAATTGAGCGGGAAGCTTTGGATTTATTCCTCACTTCGGTCATAAAGGAATTACTGTAGCAGTCCGAGGCTTGGCACCTCGGACCTGTCCTTACAGTAAAGCTTGATGATTTTTGCCTTTCTTTTCTTGTTCAAGAACAAGATTTGAGCTTAGAAACCTCCCCCCTCAGGAATTTCCAAATCTGATCTGCTCTGTCTTCACCGTTTGCTGCTCTTGTTGTGTGGGTGTGATTTTCAGTCTTTTGGTAAAAATCAGCCATGAATTTCCTCTCTTCAGCCTTGATTTATGTTGGGTTTACTCTAATTTTTGTTGTTCCTTCCATTTTTTCGGTAGCCCGTGAGTTCCCCTCCAATCTTTTGCCGTCAGCCTCCTTGCCAGCGGGACCCGAATTGCTTGTTGGAGAAACTCGATAAGTGACAGCTCTCCAAGTCTGAGTTTTGTAAGCCATTTAGTTGCTGCCCTACTGAATTTGAGTCCATTTTATTGCTATCCTGTGCCGTGCATATTGTTGCTGGAAAATAGAAGTACTTTGGTGAAATTTCGGCTGGAAGGTGGAAGAACTCTGGCAGCCTTAAGATGTATTTTGAGCTTGGTTTAGGTAGAAATTTTCTTGATTTGCTATTGTGAGGTTCTATGTGAAAATCCCAGTGTGTTATTGTTATTTCGGTCACAAACAACAAAATTGAAATAAAGGCCCTGTTTCTCCAGTTTTGTGTCCGTGGGATTTGGAAAACCAAATTAGTGAAATTTGGCTCTAAAACCTCTTGTTTAAGAGATTTTTGGATATTATAATTTTACTTGAAAATATTTGGATTTTGGGGATGAATTTCGGTAGTAATTAGAGCATAATTAAGCTTAATTCATGTATAAATTGCTTGAGTTGGCTGCTGTGATTTTGGAGAAAAATCCGTGAATTAGCCATTGTTTTGCCAATTTGTGGAAATGTAGTTACTGTTCATGACGTGATTACTGTTCAGGAGCATTGTTCATGGGCACTGTTCACGTACTGATGGCCAATAATTACCGGGATTTAAATGTTTAGTTTGTAATATAAGAACAAATTTGGAGATGTCCGGTCATATGGAGACTAATAGAAATAGCATCATGATTAGGGGTGATCCTAATGAAGTTTCACTTTGAATTTGTGATAGTACGGTATTAATTCTGGGGTATTTTGATTAGGTTCCTGATCGTTCTGTCAGTTTAGCACTGAGATCGAGTCTTCGGTTTTATGCAAGTGAGGTAAGTAAATTTATGGTAATGCTCGTACAGTTTTTAAAAGTATGTTTTGACTTGTTTTTGAAGTGATGGCAGGACTAAACCCATTTTATACAAAAGTAAGTATGATTGATTTGAAGTGAAATTTTTATACTTTTCATTAAGTTGAGCATGCCTACTTGAAATTTAATTGATTGTCCTGATGATCTGAAAGTGATTGGTGAATTATGATTTTTCTGTTAACTTCTGTCTGTTTTGTCTCCGATATGGTCATATTATTCGTGTGCCCGCTAGTGGGAGGTTTATAAACGCTAGCACATGTCGACATGTTACTGATAGAACCGGTTCATTTATGTTATCCTGCTAGTGGGATTATGCACTAGTAAATCGTGTGCCTGCCAGTGGGAGGTTTATAACACTGGCCATGACCTATAAAGAAGACGTCTATTTCGTTTCCGTACCCGTACTTGTTTTTTGTAATTATACTCGTTGGCATGCTATAAGTTTAATTAAAGGCTATCCATATTTACTTATTGAGTTATCTCATAGTTTTTCTTTGTCCACTATTTCAGGAAGCGAAGTCAAAGCGAAGTCAAGGACGGGGAAAAACGAGGGGAGTGACGAGTTAGAAGGCTAGTCATCTTGTAAAGTGAACATAGATTGTAAATATAAATCATGATCTTGTAAACTAGATTTTATTTGGAGATTTTATGATATTAGAGCAAATTTTATAATTTTAACTTCAAATTTTGGTGGTATCAAATTGTGATATGATAAGTTCTGAGTCTTATGCATTCGTAGGACTCGTTCACGAGTGCACGGCGTCTGTTATGCCCCCGGATTTGGGTTTTGGGCCTTGACAGGCTTAATATTAATAAAATATTTTTACCTTAGTTTTAAAAAAATGAAATTGTAATGAAAATAAAGTTGAAAAGAATTTTTAATACTTTATTTAAAATAAAAATGAAAAACTAAATTAAGACACCCTTCCAAAAATTGTGAGAGTAAGATGAGGGCACAAGAGTAATTATAAATTGACTAGTTTTTTTTTTGCCCGTGCGATTGCAGGGGTTGTTCTTTAATTTTTTACATTAGAACTTGCATTTTATACTATTTTCTATCAACTTTTAAATTTTATAATATTTTTTAATTAAAAGATTCTAATTAAGTGATTAAGGTTGAGTTTGAAATTACTTTTGATAATTTGCAATTGTACTTTTTGGAAAAAAAATTGTAGAGAGCCACATTAAAAAGAAAGATAAAGAGAATTTAAAAAATATTCAATATAAATCTTCATCTCATAATTCAAATAAATCCTTTCTTTTGTTTTAAAAAATAAATTTCATGATATTGGTTATCTTACATGTTTTATTTTTATTAATTAAATGTATTTTTTTCTTTAACTAAATATATATTTTAATTTGTTAACCTCTCTCACCATTTATTTGACTTATAAAACCAATAATTTTAATCAAACTTTTACATATTATCTTATTTTTTTTATAACATGTATTAATGTCACTCATATTAAGAATGTTTTAGTATTTTCACATTAGTTTTGGTTTTAAGTTATATTAATTATTATTTATAATACATTTAATATATTTTAAAATATAAAATTACTATGCCGTTAAAATCATATAATAAAAATTATTAATTGTAAGTTAAAGTAAATTAATCAATAAATTCTAATTAGAACTTTCTAACCACTATACATTTTATTTATTTATTTATTATTATATTCTATCTATCTCTAGGCTTTGGATTACTATCAGGATATCATAACTTATCCTAAAAATTAAATTATAGGAATAGTAGCTCTTCATTTTCAATCATCATCATTATCATCCATTATAGTATTATAATTATAATTGTGATTATGTTTTTTAATTAATTTCTCAATAAATTCTAATTAAAACTTTCTAACCATTTTATACCTTTTGTTTTTCCATTTTTATTGTATTCTATCTATCTCTAGTCTTTAGATTACTATTAGAATATAAATTTATCCTAAAAACAAATTATAGAAATAGTGGCTCTTTATTTTCAATTATGATCATTATCATCGATTTTTTTTATTAAAATTTCTTTTAATTTCATTCATTAGTAGTTTAAATTAAAAGAATTGTGGCTCTTCATTTTCAATCATCATTATTATTCACTAAATCCTAATTAAAACTTTCTAACCATTCTATACTTTTTGTTTTTTGTTTTTTTTTTTTTTTCTATTCTTTCTTGTATTCTATTTATCTCTAGTCTCTAGGTTACTATTAGGATATGAACTTATCCTAAAAATTAAAAAATTAAAATAAAGTTATAGGTATTCATAAGTAGATGAATACAAATATATCACTAAGATTTTATTTGATTTATATCTCTTCATGGTTGTGCATATATATTGATGCGTTTATTTTCACTCTCGCATCATTTTTATGTTGGCAATGAATATAATTTCTTTTCTATTAAAACTTCTTTTAATTTCATTCATTATTAGTTAAGTTATAGTTTGCATTTTATTTTTTTTATTTAATTAATTTTAATTAAAATTAAAATGAAGTAAAACTTTTTTGTTTTTAAATTATGATATAGTAATTGTAATTGTGGTTATGTTT